CATTTAATAATATATTTTTTCAACTTTAAGAATATACTTGTTTTTAACGAAAAACGCCGTGGTTTTCTTTGAGTGTTGAGTATGTTGCCGCGCGCCATAACGCCCATAACCGACAATCGTTAAACGCGTACTGTTACTGTGCTTTGTTGTAGCCTACTATTTTGTTTATATATGAAGTTTTTTTTACAAGCAATTCGTATACGACGTTGGACACATATTATTTACTACAATTGTCAAGGTAAGATATTATAATGATTTGTTATATTTGTAAAAAATGTATTGGCAATTTACAAGCCTTGTTGGCGCACTACAAAATAGTTCACCTTCTGAAACCAAATAGCACTTACACCTGTCATGAAGGCTCTTGTTTTCAATCTTTTGATTGTTTGTCTTATACAATGTAACTAACTTGTATTAATTTATTATGATATAATGTTATGCTTTTTAATTTTTTTTGCATAATAAATACAATGTACATAACTTGTATTAATTTATAATATAATGTTTAAGCTTTTAAATTGTATTGCATAATATGTGCAATGTACCTAATTGAATATAAATATATTTACCTATGTTCATTGTTCATATTGCTTTTTGTCTTCTTATAGTGCTATATTTGCTATAAAATATGAATACTTTGCAAGAAAACATAGAAGATATGCTTGATGATGTAAATAATGATGGTCTTAATTCTATGAATAATTCAATTAACTCGAATGCAAGTTAATTTTTATATTTTGTATTCAATATTTATAAATTATTGAAAACAAATTTTATATTTTGTAATGAGACAAAACGGAGTGACCAAGTAAGTGGCGCACTCTTGTGTTGCATCATCACCCCACTTATTGATAACTACCGCCGCGCGCTCACGCCTCCGAGAAACGCCGCCGGAAGACAGTACAACGTAATATACCTACCTACCTGAAATATAGATAGCGCTACCCCGCATCGGATTAGAAGTCCGGACGCCGCCCGCAGTAGAAGTAAGTTTACAGTATGAAGCAAGCAGAGTAGAAGTTTGAAGTAAACAAATTCAGAATCAGCGGATTCCATACTATAATATTCATACTACTACACACTTCAACACATCACCAAAAGAACCAAGCAACCAGAAGTGTCAGTCAGTATTTTGATCGGGACCCACCGCCACCGAACCACAGATATATAGGCCGCCAACAGCCGATTCAACACCACTCATTGTCCCCTGCTGAGCGAGGACGACCTGCGAGCCGGACAATATTTGCACAGTTTCTGCTGTGATACAAATATTGTAATACGGACGCATATCTCCTGCTATCCACAGCACACTGCCCCAGACTGAGTACGCCGGACGATAATAAATATCGTAATACGGAGATACTCTACAGTCTGACCCGGCAATTCCCTGTCATCCGCCACCGTCCGAGTGCGTCGTGAGACAGTATATCGTGTACGTGTTTTCTTTCACTGAGCCGCCGCCGTTCGAGTCGAGCCGCCAGTCGAGCATTAACCACCGTACAACCTACACATACCGGGCAGACAAGGAGGAATCCCGTTCACCAGCCGTCAACGTCTTACTGTCAACATACCGCCGTCAGAGCCGTGTCACTGCTGATCATACGTAAGCCTTTCGCCACCAGTGTTACTGTGTGGTCGATCGTGCCACAGTCCGTGGAAGCGCGCCGCCATCCGAGTCGAGCCAGCCAAACCACGAGAAATTCCGAACCACAACCGTGAGTTACATGTTAAGCACATTCCCACCCCTTTATGTAAAATGTAATATTTTTACTGTACACTCTAACGAGTATAACTTAAATAATTGATATAAAAAGAAAATATTGTTATACGAAACATAGTAATTATATCAAACTCAGATAATGAGCATATTGGTTCAAAATATTATATATTAATAAAACAATTAATTACCAAACAATAGCGTTTCATTACAATGTATAGGATTTAAATAGTTTTCCAGTATCAATTTCTGTTTTGGAGGGCTATGAATATCCTGTGGATGATGTTCAACCATTATATGAGTTATTAAAAAAATGGGGCTTTCAATGTTTGTCTAAAACTTTATTTGGTAAAAACACAAGAATATTACTAAAATTCTGTGTTGATGTGTAATGTGAATTTTAATTTGTTATTGCAGATAATTTAATTGATATGAAAATACTGGCAATCATGAATAAAGAAGATGTAAATGAAATGTTAAAAACATTTCCAATTGGGATTAAAATATTATTTAAACATGAACTTGAAAATTGGCAAAACTCTCTTCACCACTCTACTATAATGAAACCAAATGAACATACAATGACAAGTGTAATCGCAACTTATAGCGAACCTAAAGAACCTGCAACACAACCTTTACAAGTACCATCAACATCTGTCACTATAGATTTGGGAGAAATGTTAAATGCAACGACTACAGGAAAAATGATTATTGACTATTACAAAGAACATAAAAAATTAAATAGTAACATCCGTTCATTATTAGTTGACACTATTATTAGTTATGTGATAACAAAAAATATGTGTATGTCTGTGTATCTGGCTGAAACTATTTCAAATCATATAACCACAATGTTTCCATCTGAAGTAAAAGTAAGATATATGTTTTTATTCATTTAAACTCATTGATTATAATATATATTATAATTTACATTTTTTCTACAGGACACATATTTCATGAAGGATGTACAAAATAAAAATACTAAAGGCAAAATTTACGCAAAATACTATAACGCAATTCGAACACTCAAATCATGTGGTATAGTACCTTCTAAAGGACTTCAAGTTAAAAGAATGATGGATACAGAAACTCATCGTCAGTACAATAAAGAATTTGGTAAATTATTTCTTTAGTCGAAAATATAATTTCAATATTACTTATTATAATATTTGTTAATAAAGACCTTATATGAATTAACCTAGTAAGTAGTAAGTGTCTACTTAGAAAAAAAAAGTTTAAACTAATTATTATTTTAGTTTGTATATTGGTTAATAGGTTGTAGATCTAGACTTAAATCAAAAAATTAATTAATTTACTAAATATTTTTTAATTAAATTATTAATTTTATTTATTCCTAATTAAGAAATGTAAAATAATTTGTTGAAATTTACTGACTATCTCTAATTGACTGTTTTAAATTAATTATTTTAGTACCTGAATATGACATTGATTACATTGTTGATCAAATAAAGTATGATTCAAATTGTTCATTCCCTGATCTGGAAAATAATTGGAAGTCTACAACAAATTATAGATTAAATGAAATCAAACATTTTTCTTCTACTAGTGAAATCATTAAGAACTGGAATAGTTATACCTTGCCACTAGGATATAGACTTGTAAGTTATTTTTAATAAAATAAATATGTGATTTTAAAGTGTTACTGAAAAAATTATAGGTTGATATTGACTTTCATACATTATACCCAGACTGTTCTTCATTATTGAACACCTGGGAAAATAAATTTGAAAATATAATAAAACTCCTGGATGAGAAATTAAAGGATTCTACCAATCGTAAACTATTCGACAGTTTAAGAGATGATGCTTCAACTATAAACCAAAGTAATTATTATAATTAAATCATTGTAATAGAAATATCAGGGGATCAAAAATTAAATTTAACTGTAACCACTAGCCACTGGGTTCTACTTATATTTTAAGCATGACTAAATAATATACAGGGATATTCAAAATGATTCATCCGCTGGCCTCCTAGGTTATCGGATTTCATGCCATGTGATTATTTCATTTGAGGACATGTTAAAGATATTGTATACATACCATACATATCACCACTGCCATCAACTCCAGATGAATTGAAAAATCAAATAACTACAGCCATTGAGTTAATTAAATTATTACAATTGAGATGAATTTGATGACCGACTACATGTTATTCATGTAACTAAAATAATCAAAAACATAGAACATTCTAGGTAACATTAATTAAACTTGACATATTTGTCTTTTATTAAATGTTTAAAATATTGTTCCAAACCTAAAAAGTAAAGTTATATAAACGTTTGAAATTAGATGAATCATTTTGAATAACCCTGTATTTAGCCATGATTAAATAACTTCTGGTAGTGGTCAAATGTCATTGTTTGAGTAAAAATATAGATAAATATAAAATATTATTAATAAATAAATATAAGATACATATCTAATATACCTATAAAAATTGTATAATATTTTACTTAGCCACAGATATATATGTATACTTGTTATTCATTTAATTAATAGATTATTTAGCATAGGCATAATCTAGGGGGCAAGAGGGGGCAACTGCCCCCTAAGTTGTTTAACTGGGTGGGAAAAAGTGTCGTTTTGCCTCCCCCCCCTGTAAAAGTTAAAATTAAAGTTATTTTAACATTAAAATAAACAATGCGTTATAATATACATAATGGCTAATATTAAAAATATTCATTTTTCATTAATGATAATAATAAATAAATAATCATAAAATCAATAATATTTCAGAACAATACCGATAATGATAAATCCTTCAGTATCATGTTTAGATAGGACAACTTTTATAATATTAGATAAACATTTTATTGGAAGATTAAAACTGTCGTTTGGATTTATTTCCTCAATATTATAGAAATGTACTTATTTTGGTTATGATTTCAATAATATCATAATCATATTTTCTTTTATCATTTTTATTTGGTATTGAGTATTGAATAATTACAATTTTTTGTTCATTTTTTTCTACCTACTGTTGTATATTTTGCACGGAGAGGGAAGGGTAAAACTACCTCTTTTTCATACTTTATAGATTTTTAGTTTTGCCACAGTCTGCCCTCCCCCCCTAAGAATTAACTCAAGATTACGCCGTAGGTACATTTCTGATGAAAATATTTATAATTTTTACTTTTCAGATGGTAAAAATACAGTTTTATTGTATTTATTACACGCTATACTAGTTTCTACTGCAAAGAAAATTACTAAAGATCAGAATGGGAAGAAGTGTCAAATAAAATAGATTGTCAAATAGAATGAAAGATTCTCAAAACAGCTTCATGACATTCAAAAATTCGGTAGCTGAAATTGAAGAACATATTGTTGTGCGCCAGAATGAAAAAAATCCGATTCAGCCATTTATTATTATTGTAGGTACCCCTACTAATCCTAAAGAAATAATTGTTTTTTTTGATTGTATTAAGTATAAATTATTCACTATACTATCTGCTGTAGATGTTTGTTTTAAATTATTTCATCTGTTTAACTTGGAATATCCAAGTGAATCATGTGTAGTATGGCTCTTTATACAAAAGTATTTTTATTCACTAACTACAAAATTTGATCATTTCATTCTTTAGGTCAAATGTTATATGATATAAACAGTATGGATAACCAAATGTGTTGAAAAATAAAATAACATTTATAATATACAATTTGTGGTTATATTTTATTAATTTAAAAGAGACTCCCTACTTCAACCTACATTATACTACAATTATTTATGTGTATTGTATTATTTGGTGAAATGATATGTCATGGTCAATTTTATTTGAATCCTTACATAATCCTAGAATAATGGAAATGAAGTTCATCGTGAGTTATAATTAGTTTTTTAAATAAATTATTTAACTAATTTGAGAATACCAAAATATTTTAAATTTCTATCACAAGATGTCTAGCTAACTTGATACTTGAATTGGTACATAAATTATATAATTATATTATTAAGTAACAATATTTTTGCTATACCATACCTAGTAAGTACAATATCATAATGATAAAGACTTTATTAACCTGATAAAATATTTATTATGCAGATTGAACTTTATATTTGTAAAATGATAAAGTTATGTTGTCTTTACAATAATATAATTTATCTTTATGATAAAAATCGCAGTTCAAATTTAACAGTAAAAAGTTGTTGGAGTAACAATATTTTTGATAATTTAACTAACTCATGAACTTAAATAGTTTCAACAATATAGTTGTTCGTTTGATAAATAATTCTTGTTGGCTCTATGTTAACAAGAATTTTGTCAATTCAACTCATACTTTTATTATTATGATTATGGTTTTTCTTTCGGTGTATTAGGCGAGGTCTTACGCAGTATAGGTACACAATAATAACGAAGACCTCGAGACTACGACGACGACTAAAAAGTAAAAACTATTACTACAAATCATGACATTTTCACTGGTTGTTTATATTAGCATATTTTGCTATACACGATAACATTTTCAAAATATTTTAACTAGGATTTTTAGGTCCACTTTTTTAGGTTTTTTCTCTATAGATGCGACAATGAAATTAGTTTCGTTGGGTCAAAAAGCTTTAAAATGCAATACAAGATTCTTCATAAGTTTGTCTACCTCAATCAAAAAAAAAAAATGTCTACAAGCAAATCAAATAAAATTTTTTGAGCATTTGAAGTTCAATTTTTGTGCATAGATTGAATATTCACTAGATTTCTCATGTAGCGATTTTGTTATTTTGATGTAATTCAAATTCAAACATACAATATAGTGTAGTTTAATGATGTTTAAAAAAATTAAGTTGATTTGTGCGTCGAATGCAATACGTATGCAATACGTACATAGCAAAATTGAAAATCTGTTACAAACCTGGGTCATATTAGATATATGCTTTTGAAATTATAATAATTTGTGTATGAAACTTACTATTAATCAATTTAAAAGTATATATACACACACATATATATATGCATGTGCTACATCGGTTACAAATGAACAATGAATAATAATTAAGTGTTAGGTGTAGGAACTCTTATGATTAACGGAGTATGGTTTAGTTACAAATTAGTAATCATTATTGATACAATGATGATTCTTTTTGTTGTGTTTCTGTTACATCTGCATTGACGAAGTCTTTTGTAGTATAATGTTTCTGAAATAATAAAAATGCATACAACTATTTACTGATATATTTTGAGAGTACATTCATAATTCTAAATAATTTACCACATAGTGTGCGAGTCGCAGCCAGTTTAAATGCATTTTTGACATTTGATAGAAATACAATAACCAAATCCGCATCAAGAGAGAAGCACATAGAGGTTGTCGAATTTCCCCTATGTCTTAGTAGCAGTACAATAATGATTCTGTTACTGTTACACGTACATTGATGAAGTCTTTTCTAGTATAATGTTTCTGAAATAATACAAATGCATACAAATATTTGATGATATATTTTTAGATTACATACATAATTCTAAATAATTTACCACCTAGTGTGGGAGTCGCAGCCAGTTTAAATGCATGTTTGACATTTGATACAAATACAATAACAAAATCCTCATCAAGAGAGAAGCACGTAGAGGTTGTCGAATTTCCCCTATGTCTTGGTAGCAGTACAATAATGATTCTGTTACTGTTACACCTGCATTGATAAAGTCATTTCTAGTATAATGTTTCTGAAATAATATAAATGCATACAAATATCTGCTGATATATTGTTAGAGTACATAAATAATAATTCTAAATAATTTACCACATAGTGTGTGAGTCGCAGCCAATTTAAATGCATGTTCGACATCAGTTACGTATTCATTACGAAATCCGCATCCAGAGAGAACCACGTGGAGGTTGTCGAACTTTCTCTCCTCCTCGAGTCGTACTTACGACTGCTTATGAACCATGTGTCACACAAACTTTTGTCACACAGACTTGGATCACACAGATTGGATTCAATGTTCATTAAGTTCTTGTAGACTTCATTGTACAGTTATATCGCTTGTAGAACTTCTCTGTACACAATGTTCTCAGTGACAAATCTACCACGGTCATCACTGTACATACTTACTCTAATGGATTGAGAGCGATTTTCCGTGACCACGAAGCATCCTGTTGATTGCATCCAAACACGCAGCCCTCGCGCGGTCAATATCCCTCAATCGGTGATTGAAGTCCTGCAACATGTGAGGTTCGCTGGCTTGATTGAACGTTTGTGATCTCGCAGTGCAAAAGCATTGTCACAAAAAGGTAACGAAGATGGACTGGAGTGTCCAATGTTGCTGATTCGGCCATGCACGCCAACATAGCTCGGTCGTCTTCCACAAGTCCCATCGAGACGGCTGCAGCCGCGTATGTTGGATGCTCTACCCCGTCTACTTTCCTCATGTCCCGGAAACACTGTGGGCCCCTCTTGTGTAGGAGTAGCAATCGTAGGTAGAAACGATCACGATCAAGTGGGTTGACAACGTACATTCGAGCCAACGTCTCGTACGTCATCTGTCTTTGACGTCGTGTCCACGTTCTTCTAGACGCGTTCCAAGTGTTCCTTTTTTTCCTGTTTCCAAGCCTCTTCGTCTGTCGCGTTGAGGTCGAAGAATGCCGTGAGTTTGGTTCGAGCCAGAGCCGCGTTCTGCAACCGCTCTAGTACCTGTCCAGGTCCAAAGTACACGTTGTGATAGTCTTCCAGGTGGACAGGTAGTCTATTGATCGTATGACTCTTGTTATACATTTCATACGAAAATAACCTCCAAACAGCTTCTGGTGGACTGACGTACCGTGAGTTTATGTAACTGAAATCAACATAAACGTATATCATAAACAATAAGCAATAAAATAAATATATACATCTAAAAATCATAGGAATGAGATTACTTCACAATGAATATTTGCTTTCGATTACAATAAATAATATTAGGTTGACGTTGCATACAAATATATCTAATAAGTGTATACTCTGTACCAAATAAGAGCGCACCGAGTTGGCGCATCCAAATGAATCGCGGAGCGACGTCTGGACCCCCTGGTCGGGTCTATTCGCTCTGTGATTGGTCGCCGATCGTCGGTCGGATTCGCCGCCGTGAATACAGGGAGCTAAAGTAATAATGCGTTTCACGCGTATTAATCAGTAAAATAATACACATACTTTTCGTTTTTTTTTTTCTTAACATAGGTATTGAACTCAATATAATATTAAAAACATTCAAAATATTCACCAATGCGCGCAAAAAATATAACAACGTCTAACCGCGTATACCGTTAAAATTGGTGTGATAATATACAACATTCTGTATTCAGAGTTGACCTGGCCGGCGCCGGAATACGCTGCGGCAGCGTTCTCTGACATGCGCCGCCCGGTGCGCTCTTATTTGGTACAGAGTATAGAGTGTAGTTAATGATTATTGTATTAAAGTGGTATGCAATGTTATTGTAGTTAACAAAATGTTGTTATTATTATTATTACTCAACTATGTATGAAAAGGAAAATATTAAAACAAATAATAGTTATTAAAATTGAATCATTTTAAATTGAGCAGCATTATTGGTTCATAAGTCACAAAATGAAATGTAATATTATTATATTGTACAATATGAATAATTATGAAAATAAAATTTACCAACAACATCTATCACATATACAGAATAACACTTAAGGTAACATTACTGAGATTGATGCAGCTTTAAAATGATTTCGGTTGACTATTGGACAATGTTAATACCATTTGTATCATAATAATAATCCAACACAACAATGATAGATGGAATGTAATTTAGAAGTCAACAATTAAAACTATAAGTTTAATTCAATTACTTTTCAATTTCATCTCCATTCCAAATTTCCAAGGTAGCTGCATCATGGCCCTTGTAGACGTATTTATACAAATGCATTACGCTCTTCACGGTAGAGCACACATCAACGTTTATGTGTGCATCATACTTGACCAGCAAGTATGGGTTGTATGGGACAACCAACTCATTGCCGACAGGATGACCTCTGACGTTGACCACAAGTCCATTGTTCGGTCTACGATAAGTCGGGTATCCAAGATGATGAGTATATGTGCGTGTGGAAGACCACTTTTCTGAAACTCAATGGTGTAAACATAAGCATCTACATTACCAAACACCTTATTGACCGTGATGTCACGCATTAGCTCCTTCAGTTTTGCGTGAAACACCCTCGCCACCAAATCAGGCCTGTCGGTTGCCGTCAACCAACGCGGAATGTCATCTACTATCTCTGGCCACCTAGGGTTACACGTAAATGTTTTGAATAAGTCAGTCTTTCCGTACTTAAGCACAATGGAAATTGCGTGGTGGTAACATTGTTTCATGTACCGAGGGCCGCCCAGGAACGTCGAAGGCAGAATTGTCCTGCGGCCGACCGGATCGATTTCGTCTAGGTGGAGCTGTTGGTTAATATGGTCCAGAAGCCTTGATTGGCGTCAGCAAAGAGTGCTCTCTGGTTGTCTCGGATGTAACGTAGATTGTTCGCTTCCATGCGAACGTATTGATCACATGTGTACTGCTGTAACAAAAAACCAGCTGCGTGTAATAAACTAAACGTATGGCCTCCATTCCCATTGCTATTGGTTCCGGTGTATCTGAT